GCCGAGTTTAAAACTGGGTTCCAGCAAGCGAGGAGTTTGTGACTGGCCATCAGGATCCTTTTATTCCTTTCAGTGGTTCCCTGGAGCACAGACGGCAGAAGGCACAGGGAGAGCGGGTGGTGGGAAAGAGGGCAGACAAAGCTTTTGGGTAACACACTGGCCATGGTCCCCCCAAATCTGAACCCCACTCAGCCCCTCACAACCTTGGGCAAGCCACTGGGGCTCTCTGCTTCCTCCCTGCAGTCTCTTTAGTCCTCTTTAACATCCCTAAAGTCTCTTTAGTTTATCTTTTCTGCACAGTGTATCTGGACTATAAAGCTGAAAGACAAAAGAATCTTCATCTGGATATTTGTGCAGCATCTAGCACAAAAGAGTCTCCCCCTTAGCTGGGACCTCCAGATGATGCAGTGCTCATAAATAATGTACAGCAAATACTTCCATGAGTGATGACGAACTGCCACATTTCCTGTGATTTCATGTCTCAAGGTTGTATTATCTCATGTTTAATAACATGCACGTATCCTTACAGTTCCCCTCCTATCTAGGTTCCCTATGTCCAACGATACAGCTAAGCTCACCAACCTCCTCTGGAGAAGGGATTCAGCACCCTCCTCCTCCCACGTTAGGGTAGAAATAGAGGGACTTGATTTTCAGAAGGGCTATGAATTCATGATTCCTTCTTCAGTGAACCTCAGCAGTGTCTACCCAAACACCCTCTATCCTGCACTATTCACAAGACAAGAGCAGGGATATGCTCCCACCTCACCAGTCATGACAGCATTAAGGGAACTTGGCATATCAAGTATTCCTACTTTTTTTAAGGCAAACAATCACTCCCAGATGGAAAGAGAGGAAGCCCATCCTTATGGAGGACTGCAGGCTGTCTGGAGACTCAGGCAAAAGCTTCATCCCTTTCTCATTTTCAGGGTATGTATTGCCTTCAAACATAACAGATGGAGACTCAAAAAAGCGATGGGAAAGCACTCGCTTTGAAGCACAGAGACAGGAAAAAACAAGAACGAGGACAACTAACTGCTTGAGTAGTTTTGTAATATCATTAAACGTAGGATCAGACGTGCAACAAACAGTGACATACAGGCACTTGAGGTACTGCAATCAGTGAATTATGGCCTGCCAGTCAAGGATAAGTATGACCCTTTAAATAACTGCCTTTGGAATTTCTGTTCAGGCTAGGAGGTGTCCACCATGGTGCAGCTGATAACCCAACAGGCCACAGAACTGCTTACTGCTAAGAGGCATTAAGGAGGCACAGCTCCAGTTTCCCCCTGTCCCAAAGCCCCACTGAAACAGATGCAAAATGCCTTCCAACTTCAACAGACCTTAGATAAATCCAAAGCGAGGAAGGGAACGTGGGCTGGAATACAGGGATTTTCCACTCACTGTTTATAAGCAAGTCCTGCAGCCTGCAGCTTGGCTGAGCAGCCCACCTGCAAGCAGCAGCAGGGAGCCTGCTTCGCGTCTTCTCTGAACAGAAACCAGAGGAATGCAAGCAATGGAAAAAACGTCAAGTGGAATATCAGCCAGGCTGCAGAACACCAGCAACCACATGAATATCTGATTTCAGCCCAAAGCTTTGCAACCACCATATATAGGAAGCATTTCAACAGAGCAGACATCTCTCGAAGCATTTCAACAGAGCAGACATCTCTCCAGAGCACTGTCTGACAGCTCTGTCTCAAGCTCTCTTCCAAAAGGTACTGAGAAAGGCCTTTTACAACTGTTATCAAAGAAGTTAAAAGGAGTTAGAAAAGAGCTGGTGTTGTTGACACGAATACCAGCTTCCTACAGCACTTGCAAAAATCTCCACCAGATCTCTGAACCTTGGCTTAGCATCTGAACACTGCCATTTATGCCATCCTCTGCTCCCAGGCCCGGAGGATGAGCATCCCTCCTGGGTGGCTGGTGTTCCTCCCTGGGGCACCCTGCACGAGCCACGGGCAGCTCCTGCCCCTGCTCTGACTGCAGGCAGAGCTCCTCAGCCTGCAGGGACCGAGCAGGAACACATCCCGAGGAGATACAGGCTATGACACAGTATCAAATATTTTGTATTACAAAACACACACGCTCTGTGACCTAGAAGGAAAACTAAGATTTACTGGAAATCACAGAATCTTTTGGGCTGCTAAGTCCTTCTCAGAGGACCAAATACAAAGGGGCTCCAGAAATCCCCTGAACATCTTCAGCAACTCCACAGAGCATCAGGTCAGAAGCTCTCATGCTGGAAACTTTCTCCCAGTTTTCGAGTGCAGGACTCTACAGGGTCAGGTTATGATTTACATACTGACACTTGCAGTAAGAGGACAGGCTCCATTTGCTTTGAAAAGACAAGAACTGTTGAAAGAACCTGTATGCTGCAGCAGCACACCAGCACAGGGCTGCCCTCTAGACAAGAGAGGCACGCATGGACCCGTGCATCTGGAGCTCAGCCTGTGATCCAGACTCTCTTTGCCTGGAGTTAATTTTTTTTTTTTTTTTTTTTTAACATGCAACTTTAGTGGTTTTGACAGTAAAAAAAGAAGGGAAAAAAATCTGCCCTGGAAAAATGAAGCTGTGGGGACCCACTATTTGTTAAATCACG